CCCTGCAGAGCTTGTTATGGCAGGAGTTTGAGAACACCATTGCGATTGCTCTGCGAGTCCTGGGAGGGATTCGATGAGGACCCTAATGTAGTTGCGTATGTTCTAGACCTCCTTCAGAGGCTTGGAAAAACTGAAGATCTTGTGGAAAGCCACATGAAGGCTGCGCAAGTGTTGTCGAAGGAGTACTACAACAAATCAGCGAATATGCGCACCTTTGAAGTTGCTAGTTGGGTAATGCTGCTGCGGCCGTCCAAAAAGAACAAGCTTGAGGTTCATTGGGAAGGGCTCGCCAAAGTAATATCGAAGCTTTCTGATACCAATTATGAAGTGAAATTAGGAATGCGGCCGAACAAATTTATCACAGTAACTTGATGAAACCATACGTTCAACGTCAAGTGGTTGTAAATCTGTTGTTGAATGCTTGAGAGGAAGAGGGAGCAGAAATATTGAGTTATAGTGATGTAATCAAAAGGGGATCGGAGGTAATCTTAGAGCAGTTGAACCTAGGGCCTAGGTTAAGTGAAGTCCAGAAGGAGGAAGTTTCTTTTTATGAAAAATAGATAGGGAATTGTATATTAAACCGTGTAGTAGGCGCCCAACCCGTTCATCTCATTCGTTCAAACTAATCGAATACTCGTGCCGAACCAACATGTTCAAAAAATCGTTCTTCCCTCGTACAATCCATGAATGGAACGCATTGCCTGAAAATGTATTACAGAGCCCAACCATGTCGTCGTTTATGCACGCTCTCGCTCATCTATGACCGAGATGTTTCCTGTGGCGTCTGTCGCTTTCCAGATGGCGTGCGACATTGAAACAAAAATCATTACACCCTTCTTATCGTTGTCGAGCAGACTACTGCGTGAACATGCGCTCTTTTGCACATTCTTCTCTTTTTTTCCCCTTGTAGTTATTTTATTTGTCCTAAACTGAAACATTTTTTCACCCTGTGGTCCATGTATTTTCTTACCAGTATTTTCAACTGTATTATCGTGTGTGTTCCTGGAACCTGTTGTTTCTACTGTTTTTACTGGAACCTGTTGTTTCTTGTTTCACATACTGAAAAGATTGTTCAACACTGTTTTTAGTTTTATTCCACAGATTTGTTTGGAACCGTTCTCACAGATTGTTCATCATTTTCTTTTGTGTACAATCCACTCCTGCCTATGGCTTGTAAAGCAAGTTGGCAGTATTAAAATAAATAAATAAATAAATAAAATAAATGAGAAATCTGGACTCCCATATTGTAGTTACACAGATGTGCAACGTAGCGAGTACGAGCAGCCCTTAGTTCCACATAGGTATCGTCGCCTTAAAGTGGCCGGTTACTGAGGTGGAGTTTCATACTCCAACAGCACAACTTTGAAGTTTGCTAAAAATAAAAGGAAAGCTAAACGCTAATGCAGGTGCATTGAGCCGTACGTTCTAGCTAGTAGCTTCTCCACCTTTCGGTTTCTCGCTGGCGATTCAAGGCAAAATTTTGTCTTCATCACGGCCTTAGCTGAGCGCTCTCGTCCAGAATAAGCTCAAGGAGCCAACTTTATGTTCTATTCTATTTCGTTACGTTGTTGTAAGTGTAAAATTTTGAGTTCTCATTTTAAGAGTCTTGTGTCCCACATGTGCCTCTTGATGTAGAGGGAACGAAATTCCGATAGACACGTAACTAGGTATATGTTGTAATATACTTTGTCTGGTGTTCTGTCGGGTGACCGAGGGCACTTGCTTGTGTCGTGTGTTGTCTGTTGCCGAACCGTTCTTGACAAGTTGCAGAACCATCGACAAAGCTGAGACCAAAGATCGTCAGGAGAGACGAGCGAAGCTGGCCGACAAGTTGTGGCGACAAGCCAGTGGAGCTTGGATCCGTCCTCAAAAATGGGATGTGTTCCCGGAGCGGAGTCTGGAGCTGCATTCTCCCCATGGCCCTGGAGGCGAACCTGGAGGTACCTGGCAAACGAGCGCGCCTGACACTCGAGCCACGTGGAAGCAGCTCGTCTTTCCGGCGCATTGTCTGGCGGCGGGGGTGCTGTTATGCCTGCGAGTCCACACCGAACGTCCATGCCTATGAAAAAGGCAATATGTGTAAAGGCCAGCACGCGAGCCCGCCTGACGCGAACAACTCAACGGCATCATCACGCGGCGGCGCCTTTCTGTCTCGCACGCACAGCGAGCCACCTCAGCCCACGAGCCCGTTGCAGCAATAGGCACCTTCCTGTCTGGCAAGTCTTACGCAATATGTGGCGACGTGTAGTGGCTCCGTATTTGATGAGAATTACGCGGCCCAGCGGCGACCCCATTGAAGGATTCTGACCTCACGACCAGCAGCACTTCTGGTTGGACATTTGGTTACTCAAAGCATCCACCCTGTGCATATAAAGAAAGCCCCGCGTCGCGAGGAGTAGACCTGTGTGTCAGAGAAGAGAGCTCGGCTCTTCGAGTCTCTAAGCTGTCGGCCCCAGTGCCGAATTTGTAACACCTCTGTATATATGCTGTACATAAACCTTCTTTAACTCACCATCGTCTCGTCAGCCCGTCTATCAGCTCTGCGCCGAAGCAGTCGCAAGCTGAGAAACCTACGCTACCAAATGGCTGGTGACCTTTCGGCGGAGTTCGAAGCAGTGGCGCCTTCGGGATCGTGTTGGCGTCGCCGTCTTTCGTAACAGTCGTTGCAGCGGTGAGATTTCGTGAACAGTCGTTGCAGCGGTGAGATTTCGTGATGCCCTTCGTAAGGTCGTCAGAGGCACGCTTTGTAACAACGCTGACCCTTCCTCCGCGCCCCTGTAGTTGCTGCTCTCCCCTCTGCCTTTTGTTACACACCCCTCTGTGCTTTGTTCCCGGCACTACTCTGAGCACCCCGCATCGCCAGACGAGGTCCGTGTTTTCACACTGCCACTGCTCTTTCAAAGGCTGGTCGACCATCTTCTCTGTTTTTGATTGCTGGTACTGTCATTGGCGTCGCCGGCCCGGAGTGACCAGACCATTTGCCAACGTCGTCGGACACCGACTGTATCTGATTGTCTGCGTCTAGTGCACGGACGTACGCTACCCCACCGACTCTGATAATTCACGATTCGTTTTGTGTTTAGGAGCGGTTCTCGCTCACTACGCACTCGGCTCAGCATGTCCTCAGCACGCGTGCGAAAGCGTGAAAACTTATGTTAATTTGCACGGAACGAGTCGCGAAATATCAATGTCAGTGAGGCCATGCACACCTGCCGGCGCAACAAAACGTTTTTTTGACCACGACCCCAGATCCTTTCAACACTGCCGTGCGCGCAGATCCAAGCGGCTGTGCTTTGACTTCTGCGTGCAGAGCCACTCTTTCAAGTTTTTCTACGGGCGAATTGCGCTTTTCACGAATTTTTCAAGCAAGCTTACCTTCTTGCGTTTTTTGGTTTTCAAGGTCGCTCTCCCGCCGTGTCCTCCCCTCTCCACTCTATCGCAACTCCTTGCCTTTCTTCTGTCGCAAATCTCTTCTCCTCTCTTGATCGCAACCCCTTCACTCGTCTCCACTGCTCTGCGGCGCCAGCCACGCTGACTAAAAACGGGCCCAGAGCTGTTCCGCCGTGCTGGCATGTGTGTCGCGTGTGCGCGAATTGCTCGCTCTTGCTGTTCGTGTGTGATCAGGATCGCAGACGGCAGGACTTGCACGCTTTTCCCTGCTGCTCAACAAAACGTCGAAAGTGTGAGCGCTTGGCTTGAGCGAAATCCGCGTGTTAGATGCCGCGTTGCGGAGCGCTTGCTTCGCAACGCATAGCTGTTGACCATCTGGCAGCCAACTTGCAGCTTCAGGCGTCTCGGTATTCGGTTGTGGAGATGGTGAATATTTCATGGGCGGCAGTGACGGCAACATGTGCGTGAAACTGTTTTCGCGAGGCCGTCTTCGTCGACGTCGAGCCCGATGCCGAGCCTGAAGCTTCCGAACAGGATCAGTTCAGTGGCGATTTGTGGCAGCGCGCCGTCGACTCCGACATGGGAGAACGGTTGGAACATCTGTTGCGATAGTTTCATTACGGCCGATGATGATGCTGACAGCACGGAACCGTACACCAATTAAGACATTGTGAATGAAGTACGTTGCAAGAGCGATTTGGAGAAACCGAATTGCGAGAATGACGAAACTTTGGAGCCAGTCCTTCATGCACCTTATGTCTCGGGCTTCGGCGAACAAGCACGCTGCTGATTGAAATAAACTAGAGACCGCCCTTATTGCTTCTGCTCTTCAAAACACATGCATCACGGACTTTTTTGGGGCAAAAAAGTCTGTGTTTTCACTCGCAACTTTTTTATAAGCTGTGTTTCATTTATTACGAACTTCAATATACAGCGAACGGATGCCGCGTCAGGCTCAGATTCGTTATAAGCGGGCTCGACTGTATACTTCTTTTGCATCAGGTGCAGTTTGTGTTGCTCTTCCAGCTTCCAATGTGGGTGTGCGAAAATTTCCTCATAGGCTTGGCATTTTCTTTTCCTATGCCACCATTAGTATACGATGCGGAGAAAGGCTCCAAGCTTTTGGAGCACACCATGTTGGCGAATACAAAAAACACCTGTGTGAACTTGCATGTCTTTCTACAGTTCTAAGCTGCTTTCTCGTTGGCAGTCGTGCACAAGTCATTTGTTCGTCCAATGGGAATTTTCCGCTCAATTGTTTTTATGTAGCATAGACGAGGACAAATAGAGAGGCATTGGAATAGCGAGGGCTATAGCTTTCTCGCAGTTTTTATACTCTGCACACGTGTCTTGCCTGACTTGTGTGGAGCAGTCAGAATTTTGACCTGTGAATTATCACAGAACCTTTTCCAGAGAGCTCAACAGTTTAACTAGAAGCCACATTTGTGTTTATTTTGTGCAAAGAAATAGCCACAACTGTTGCTTCTGGCTGAACATGAGCTCAGCACGGTGTTTTTCTAGATCTCTACACTGCCCAGTGATTGCACCCTGAGTCAATGTTTCAAGCATTAAGTGCAAGCAGTGTTTCTGCTGACGACGTGCGTGTGCAGGCGGTGCAGTGCTCGGACCAGCTGATGCAGAAGATCCAGGCCCAGAACCGACGCACCCTGGACTTGCTAGCGTCCAAGTGCTACTTCTACCACAGCCGCTGCTACGAGTTGGTTGACAGAATGAGCGACATCCGCAGGTGCTCGATGATGATGATGAAACCATTATTTACAAAGGCCACATTCTCTTTCTTGTTATCTGATTTGGTGACACAGCTGCTAAATATTTTACTGTAGTGGGTGTACGCCGTGAAAGTGTCTGTGTCATCCTTGTAGTCAGCTTCCTAATTTGTAGAGGGTGAAAAGAAAAGGGCTCTGCCATGTGGTAGTTGTTATCTTTAGAGTTTGTTTTATTTTTTCCGTGTGCCTAGTGCTTTTTGTTTTGGTGCTGCAGTAGTCATTCACAAGCAAGGAAAAAAAAAGTCTTTTTCATTTCTACAAGTAATGAAAAACTCAATATCGCAGTGCAATATGAGAGTATGGCCAATCAGTGCAGTAGCATAAAGTATGTTGTATAATTTTTAAACAGTAGTGAAATAGCAAACCTTTACACATGCCTTATCGGTAATTTCCTTTCATCAAAAGGTTCAACAGCAAGAAGACCCAAGTTTGCATTTTCAGAAACCACCCCTTTCACTCTTATTTGCTCATGTGAACACTAAAAAGATGAAACTCAGCCAGTAGATGGACAGCTCAGATACATTAAAAAAAGAAAGACTATTTCACCGGAAGGGCAAACAGTGAATGCAATACTAAAAATTTGAAAAGGCACATGATTGGCAAACAGCTCTGGGGTACCAACAGGCCCATCATCTGCAAGTAGGCAACACTATCGCTGTGCCATTTTGAAGATCCGTTCGTACGTGCGTTCAGCGGTCTGTGCTTCGGCATGCAGGAGGTATTCCAAAGGTCACTAGCCATCTAAGTCGCCATTTGAATCTCACACACAGCACGTGCAGCGAGTTTCTTGCGCGTGTGGCGAGCGTGTGAACCGCCAAAATGGAGACCCCCACGCTAGCAGTCCTCGCGGATGACATCCACTGCATACCCCCTATACTTGCAGCTTCCCGCAAAAGCACAAAGGAGGACGCTCAAAAAGAACACACAAAAATACAACAGACAAGTATGAACTAACTGCTCTCACAATTGTGAGAACCTTTGTGTTGTTTGCACAATGCACTGCAAGTGCCAACAATGCAGAACCTTTTCACAATGCACTGCAAGAGCCGACAATGCAGAACCCAACACTCATATATACATACTTTTAATTTGAACTACAGTGGGTGGATTGCCTCTTCTGCGTCTCCTACCACACGATGGCCTCTGTCGCAAAGTGTGCAGTGTTCTTTTTTTTCTTCGTTCCACATGGTGAGCGGGTAGAAAAGGGGGCCACTTTTTCATGCGTGCCTCAAGGGCAGTTATCAAATTAAAAGAAAATGTAGAAGCATTGTCACTGCTGCTGGTTAAAAAACAAGGTGCAGCCTGTTGCGTACTGCTGAAGTGGCAGGACGGGCCTAGTTCACATCGCGCCCACTCTAGCGCCACTACTTTTCCCTCGAGAAACGCTTTTACTCGCATTTCGTAGCTGCACATCACAGGCTTGATTCTGAATCGTTATTATTACAGCACATATGTGAACAGTTTGCCCTCGGAGCGCAAATCATTCAGGGAGTATAGGCCTGAATACTCTCCATAAATGCTGCCCGTTTGACTCACCTAAATAAAAGCGCCACTGATTCCGTTCATGGGGAGGAAATCGCCAGGCATATTCCAAGGGCTGACGTATCGGCACACTGATGCGCGCCGCCAAAGCACACATAATATAAGTGGAGGTTCTTTCAGTGCAATAACGTCGGTCGCGCTCCAAAGACTTAGATGAAAAGCAAGAGTTTGCGACACAAACAAAATATGTATTCCTAGCAAAGGCGTCAGACAAACTTGCACACTCGGCAGTTACCAATTACAACTCACAAAATCATTTAGAAGGTATTTGAAACAAGTGAAACTAACTTACCATGCTACAAATGCAATCTCACGCATCATAAACTGCGCAAGAGTACTTAGTGACCCCAAACAATCACCACATGCCTTGTGGGGTCTTGAAATGGTGAGCGAGTGCTTGCCCCGCTCTTGGAGTAAAAGGACACAGTAGACACGGTCGGAACAAACCAAACGATACACACATGTATTTAAGGGGGGACGCGGGTCTTAGAAAAGTAAAAAATAGCCAAAAAATCGATTTTGAGAAAAACCCATTTTTCGAATCTCTGAACCTATAAGCACCTCTCCTCAAATTATTAACGCTAAATTTGATAAAAAAATAGGTTAAAATCTATTTTCAAACCATCACGGGAGTCGCAAAACAACCCGCAAAACAGAAACAGAAGCAGCCGGCGGATCGGCGCCACCTTGGGCTTGTTTTGAAGCTGGTTCCTTTGTGCGCGTTTTGCGGGCTGTCAAAATGGCTTAGAAGTGTGGCAGCTTGGGCTAGTTGGTATGGCATGACGATAGTTATAGCGCGAGAACAAAACGCCACAGAGACAAGAAGGACACGAAAGACACGAGCGTTAACTTCCAACTGAGTTTATTGCTCAGAGCACGAAAATATATAGAGGAGACAGTGACCATGGCACAAGAGCAAAACATGAGTAAGAAAAACCAAAAACAAACAACACAAATACAAAGGCACTGAAAAACGGCAAAGAAAAACCTAGAAGAAACCGAACCAGAAAGGTAAAGCTACCTGCCCGCACCGAATCCTTCGAGGAACCTGCGTTCCTTCTCGGACTAAGCATAGCCTCCTCTATAACTTTGTGCCCGAGCGGTCGGTTCCTCAGCGCCGTCCCCCGAGCTATTATGGGATGCGAGCGCTCCTGGCGGAGCGCCGAGGCGCAAAACGAGAGAATGGATGGCAGCTATGGAGAAAAAACCGGCTTTGAGTAACTACCGAAAGGGCAAAAATGAAATAAGGAGGGAGGCATTTTACGATAATTCAAGGGGAAGCGCTTTTCTGTTTGAAGCGAGATCGGGTTTGAAGCAAGAACAGTCCACGAAACCATTTCCTGTGATGAATGCTTCACTTTGGTGACTAAACCAAACACCTCTGCGCCATCGGATGCATTAATTAGGCACCAGGACAGAGGTGGACTCCTGTATCCGTCAACTGAGCTCGTAATGGTTCTAAATTCTCTAAAGAATTACGCGGAAATTTTCCTCGCAAGAGCGAGAAAGATGAATCAGCCACTGAAGGCTGCCGTTGACAACGCCGCGCAAATACTACAGAAACGTGACAAACTCAAGTGCTCGACCCCGGGACATCATAAAAAACTTTTGGAGGTTGTGCTCGTGAAGTTTCTCCGCCCACTTTTTCTGAACTTCGCGACGAGTGTGACTGACAAACACGACTTGGCAAAAGATTTTCATGTCAAACCATTGTCTCGAAAAGTGCTCAAGCTTTGAGCGCGAAATCAAATAACAAAGCTCACATTGCATTCTGCATACAGTGCTTGTGTTAAAAATTTGGTGTGTGCGCACTTCTTAACGTATACGCATAATCCAATGCAATGTAGACGGTTTCTAGACCGTCATAAACGCAAGCGTGCATAGGCCGCGTCGTCTGCTGTTATTATGGGATCGGTGCGGCATCTGGCGGCGAGCGCCAAAACTATAAGGGACGGATGGCGCGTATGTATTTAGCGCTAATGCGCGGGCACAAAAAAATATAGGAGGCTATGGACTAAGCCACGGAGGGCTTGCTAACACAAGGCACCTGTTCGCGTGCCATCTGCGCAGCCTCGACAATGACCCGGGTGCTTACATCTCTGTGTTTGTACAACGTTGCTGTTTCCTCGAAGAGGGGAACACACTTGCACTCAGAGCAGTGCTGGGTAAGAAAACCATCTTTCCCGTTTTTAACATTGTTGTCAGCCGATCGTTCGGTCGGCTGTTCGCGTGCTCTCTCAGCCGATCGTTCGGTCGGCTGAGAGAGCACGACCGAACGATCGGCTGAGAGCGCACGCGAACAATGTTAAAAACGGGAAAGATGGTTTTCTTGCCCAGCACTGCACTGAGTGCAAGTGTGTTCCCCTCTTCGAGGAAACAGCGACGTTGTACAAACACAGAGATGTAAGCACCCGGGTCATTGTCGAGGCTGCGCAGATGGCACGCGAACAGGTGCCTTGTGTTAGCAAGCCCTCCGTGGCTTTGTCCGAGAAGGAGCGCAGGTTCCTCGAAGGATTCGGTGCGGGCAGGTAACGCGAACAGGTGCCTTGGATTAGCAAGCCCTCCGTGGCTTAGTCCGAGAAGGAACGCAGGTTCCTCGAAGGATTCGGTGCGGGCAGGTAGCTTTACCTTTCTGGTTCGGTTTCTTCTAGGTTTTTCTTTGCCGTTTTTCAGTACCTTTGTATTTGTGTTGTTCGTTTTTGGTTTTTCTTACTCATGTTCTGCTCTTGTGCCATGGTCACTGTCTCCTCTATATATTTTCGTGCTCTGCGCAATAAACTCAGTTGGAAGTTAGCGCTCGTGTCTTTCGTGTCCTTCTTGTCTCTGTGTCGTCGTTTTGTTCTCGCGCTATAACTATCGTCAAAATGGCGTAGCTCCAACACAACGACTGCCCTCCCCCGTTTTGCGAAGCCGTCTGCCGGACCACTGATTGGCTAGAGCGCGCGCGCGCCGGCAAGCTCTCTCCCCCCCCCCCCCCCCCCCCGTCTCGCGCTTATAATTGGCTGGCGCGGCCACGGTTGCTCGCTCTTTTTTTTTTTTTTTTGTTTGGTTTTGCTCCGTCGGCACCTGCTCTCGTGCATGTTATCTCGTCTGCTACCCGCTCGTGTACCGACGTCGCCGACGTATACGTCTTTCCGCATTTCGCCGGCATGGCTTGGGAAGCTCGCCCGAAGAAGAACACTCGTCAAGCTTTCGGCAGGAAACGAAAGCGAGCGTGGAATGCGCGGCAGAAGGGAGCGGCCTGCGCGCCGCCGAGAACGCCGGAGATGGCCGAGGCAGCGCATTGATGAAGGATGTCTGGGACAAAAATGTGTGTTTTACTTGAAATAGTGTTTTATGTATAAAAGGGCGATGTTTTTATATATAACATGTGTCTTCCTTTGGTTTTCAGTGCACCAGAACAGCCACAAAGTTGTAGACTGGGTTCCTTATACTGATTCGACGGCCAGTACACAGTTTTTAAGTGAGCTGTGGCTAATATTTTGGGAAGGTGCATTGACACATTTGGTACAGCCATACTCACATGATGTAGAGCTATACAACGGTGCCATTTTTATTGCTCTAGCTTCACTTTAGCAAAAGTTACAGTTATTAGAAACTTTAAATGCGTTTTTCTTAGTTCGATGTTTTTGTGCACCACACTAAACCTTAGGGGTTTTTCTTATATGTTACTGTTGATTGAGAATGACAAACTTGGTATCATTTTATTTGTAATAACATTACCTATGGGGTGATGCTATTTTGATTACTCTAGAAGCATACTGTTAATTACAATTATGGATAGTAATGAGTGAAAATTGAACAGAATATCCATTGTAAGTGCTGGTCTGTTTTCCTATCTATATAATGCCTAAAAATTAATAAAAATAGCATCACCCCATACAGAAAGCCCTCTGCATTGGGGCTATGCATTTATTTTTTGGATCTGGCTTGATTAAGTTGCCAAAAAGCCCCTAATGAAGTGCATAATTAATTAAAAAACAGATGTTAATATCTTTTTATCCACTGAAGCTATTTCAGAAACAATTACATGTTTGAAATCAGCATGAAAAACTGTCCAAGATGGTGAGGTTTGGTCAAGATTGAGCCAAATACAGAAAAAAAATTTTAAAGATCCATGTCCCCCCTTAACTAATTTAGAATGACGATATCGCCAGTCCGATAATTATAACACCAATCGTGATCAACACGCTAAGACATCCTTACGCAATATTCGATGCAGTTCACGGCCCCCTGATGCCGCCCACCGCGATGCCGTCCACGGCAGACCCACCGCGATAGACAACCGCCCGCGCCACCACCCCACATCAAAAGAGACTCGCTCAACTCTCACCCGCTACCAAGGCTTCCCTTCCGCCAGGGGTCACCGCCGCCGCTACCACTCTACCAACCATGATGATGATAGTGGTGATCACCGCTCGCAAACACGCTACCTATCGCTCAATAGCTTTCACCCCCGAAATACGGCTTCTGTGTGAGGCACGGGCTCCACGCGGCGCAAACAACTCCACAGGGGGTGTCAGCACCCCCACATTCCCACAACCTTAATTCAAATTATATCTCGAAAAACAAAGAAATCAGCTACATAAGCTCCAACAAAAATGACAACACATGTCCCTTCATAATGTCCGTGTATCACGACACCGCACGCTGGTCGACACTGCTGCACTGTCCGGCTCGACGACTTCACCTCAGTACCGGTTTTGCTACAGCAACGTTGCCATCGGGGCGATGATCGTCACTCGCGCCGACATGTCTTCCGGTTGCAACCAGTACTCATGAGTGCGCCAAACTGCAGGCAGTTGCGCAGGTCCCAGGCATGTCCATCGCCCGATGTCTCAACCGCATTCGAGGACAGCGGCGCTGACGATGTGCAGAAGACAGCCAGCCGCGGGTTACATCACTCCCGCTGCGTACTTTTCAAAACACTCGAAAGAACAATGCAGTAGGCCAAAAAGAAGGGAGCTTCGGGCTCCTCGCTCGCATGGTACGGTGGTCAGTACTGCTAGCTAATACATCGGTGGTGGCCGAGACGCCCATCAAAATTAAACAAAAATCACTTTTTCTAAACTCGTGCATCACAAGATGAAAAAAAAAAAGTAAGGGAAGCAAAGTACAACACCTCCACGCCACGATCCGCCTAGTTGTGCCACGTGCGACAAGCGGCTGTGCAGAACCTTAGGCTGAATGAGTCGCTCGACAACAACCAGCATCCACCCTGCACCCAGTCTAGGCGCAGAAGAGGCAGCCGAAAGGAGACATCCACTCTGTAAAGTGGCCTTTTCACTCGCCGCCCACAGCAGCTTACCGAGCAATCGGCGTCCACCGTCCCGGATGGTGTGACGACGCCCCGGCGTCGAGCCGCAATACCAGACAGCAACAACGCCCGACTCCAAGTCCAAAGAGATAGAGAGAGAGAGAGTAAAACTTTATTGAAGGGGAAAGGGAGAGGGGCGTTTTAGAGCCTTTATGGTTGGGGCCCTACGTCCAGGGCTCCACTGGCCTTAGCCGCCCGCCGGACTTGATCCAGTAGTGCGAGCTGCACTCCTGGGTCCGAGCTAGCGAGGTGTGCCTCCCACTGCTCCATACTAGGTGTTAAAGGTTCGCCGAGAAAATTGGTTATGTCACTTGGTTTACGAAGAAGCTCTTTACAGAAAATGGGACCACCCTCGAGGCTTCCGTACTCACTCGCTTCGGGCTCGGCCTACAATCCTCGTGCTCTAAGCCTTGCTCACCCTAGGATGCAGACCACATGGCTCCCGTACTCAAGTAGAACGTTCTTAAAAACCAACCACAACAACAACAAAAGCACTTTCGAGCAGAAAAAAATAAAAGCTCGAGTGCCCGCAGGTTCAAACACGTCACAAATACAGATATCCTTGCTTCTCAACAGAGCACACCGCCGACGCTAGCAAAGAAGTACCCCTAGGCCCACTCTACCTCGGCTCTAACAAAAGCTTGTACCGAACCGCGAAAACTGTTGTTCGATGCTCCAAGAGCTCCACGTTGGGCAGCCAGTGTTGGGTCTCGAATTGACGAGCGCCACCACCACGCTCTTGGAGTGAACGGACAGAGCACATGCGGTCGGAACAAACCCAACGATACACATTTATTTACCTGCTTTTTGATTGACGATATCGTCAGCCGAATTATACAACATCAATCGTGATCAACCCGCTAAGACATCCTTACACAATATTACTCAGCACGTAGCAACATAGCAAACCCAAGAGCTCACAAAAGGCCGCGTCGCCAACGCTTGACTCACCGTGCGAGACCCCGGCAGACAACCGGCGGCACAGACAACTTTACAGGGGGTGTCAGCACCCCCACAGCGTGTACTCCAGAATTCCTCAATGTGTGCAGAAAATTTCTTTTCAACGAAACACTGAAACGAATCCCAGCGCTGGTCATCGCCTCGGCAACACTTTTCAACAAAGTACTGCAGCAGCGTCATAACTCGATTCTTCAACATCGACTGACTGCACTACACGACTCACTCACACCGCTCCAACATCATAACTTCTTGGCTGATTTTCACCGCTTGTCCTACCCTCGGGTACCTCTAGCTTGGATCTTTCCCGGCTTCGCAAACATTCCAAGTAATTGTACTGCGCCTAGCACGTACGTACTAGGGCCAGGGGAAAGGGTTTCGTCTCGTTGATTTGTCTGCGAAAACTGTCGGCTTCCTCCTCATCTGTCGGCTGTCGCATGTGTAGAGAGTAAGGACATGTCCTGTGTGCTTTTTTATGCTTGTTTTCTTTGATTGCACGCGTCCATGAAGTGATCGTTTGGCAGGGTGATGTAATGCTGTCGTCTGGAGGCGGCGGCGCGCATCCGCGCTCATTTGTGATAAAAATGAGTGCCCCATTAGAAATAATACACATCCCAATACGCTTCTTGGAACTGTAGATCGCAGGTGAATACGTTGTGCTTCATTGTAGCGTCTTTTTTCACGTTCAAGCTGCTTAGCGGCACATATCAGCTTCGCGGTGTCACACCACTAAAAAACCGTCTGCCACAAACGTGCACACTATAGAATCGTACTTGATCACAGGAGACACAGGGCAAACTTCCCAACACATACAATGACACACAAAAAATCACCAGAAAGCACATGAAAAAGCACACCGACATGCACAAATTCTCTGTCAACCACATTGAAGCACGAAGTGCCATCAATTTTGGCACGTGAAGGGTCAGCGTTTTTTATCCAGCAGCCATGGTCGTGTCATAGAAAGCACGCTCAAGCTCCTCTGAGATCTGCATACTACCAGCGGTAAATGTTTTCTATAAATAAGTTATGTTGTGCTGGTGCATACATGGGGTTTGGCTCAGTGGTCTAATGCAGTGCGTTTTTGCGCGAGCGGTTGCTGGTTTGAATCCCCCAGTCGTGTGCCGTGAAATTTTTTCTTGCGATTTACTTTTTGCTGTGCCTTTTTCATATACATTTACATACATATTGAAACGTGTATGGAACTGTCGCTCCGGCACAGCTGAAATGGCACCCAAAAGGAGGAAGACGACAATGTGGTTGTTGTGGGTTGGACTCTCGAGTTTTCCCCGTTGGCCTGCATGACTGTGCGCTCTTTAAGCCGTTAGCAAGACCCGCTTTCGGTGAATAAATCTTCCCCATAACTATATACATAGCCGAGGCTAGACAGGGACAGCAAAATCAGCGGAGATTGTCCATCACAATACTACTATAATATTGTTTTGTTCATGCGAGTGCTTCCTTCTGCCCTGATGGCTTGCCTTTGCAGCTTCCTGCACAGCCGGTTGCGCACAGCCACCTTGCGCAGTGACTACGAAGGACAAGCAGTGCTGGTCAACTGTCTGCTCCGCAACTATCTCCACTACAACCTCTACGAACAGGTGAGTGTCGTCCCAGATGCTATCATTTGGCACAATTCAGTTCTCATACCCTACCTTTGCGCTACCAAGACTACAAAGTGTAATCAAGCCATGTGTTTGCACAGCAAAGCATAGTTCTATATATAGTTACCTTTTAAATGGAATGCAGTGCGATAAAGTGGACGTTACCGTATATATTAGCATAATCATCGCAATTTTTTTTTTCTAAGAAATTGACTCCAACCGGGACGCGATCATTACGCGAGGTAAATTTTCCGTGAAAAAATATTCTGAACACCGGAAGCGCAAAAAAGTTGCTAATCAGAATTATTACGATAGCTTTCATAAACATAACAAAAAATAAAAGTAAATTAAGGCTTACCTTTGTAATAAAATGCACACATTACGCAGGAGCTACATGCATGGCACACTGCCCTTTTATTTTTCTACCTCTTTGACCCCCCAACATTCATTCAGACTCCGTAGTATCTCTGGCGTCAGTGTCGTCGCCACACGATTCCCTGTCGGAACCGGCAGTGTCTTCACTGTCCCACAGAGGGTCATCTTCCGTTCCGTCGAGCGCGTTGGAAATGCCAGCGGCAGTTCAATCTGCTGCATGAAGCGTGTCATCCAGCCGGAACAGACCCGGAAGGCCTTTGTGGCTATTCCCAGCCTCCAGGAAACTGTGCACGCCTGCGTCTGTATTATGTCTAATGACACTGCATAACCGTCCTTGTGCATGTCCTTCACGTATTCGAGGACTGCCTTTTCAATGTCAGGGAACTTGCCAGATTTGGGTCCGCAGAAAGCCCATCGCGTGCTGTTAGTAGCCATGAGCAGGTCGCGCTGTTTTTTCCAATATCGAATCCGGATTTCGTCGATGCCGAAATGTCTGCCGGCAGCGCAATTGCCGTGCTATAGCGCGTAGTCTACGCGGCAGTAAAGCTCGCATACTGCCCCACGGTGAAAGAGCTTCAACAGACGATCGCAAAGCACAAAAAAAAAAAAAAAAAAAACGTGGTCACAGGAAAAAAAAAAAAGACTGCTGTGGGATGAACACAGGTCAACCAACAGGCGGCCGCCGCTGTAACAGTGCGGGATGTCAAAACAAACATGTAGGCTGATGGAGCGAAGCACTTCCTGGAGCGAAGCCACTGCATTTTTTTTTCTTTTTTTCGTCAATGGAGGTTGTGAGTACGTCACTCGGATCAAAACAGTTTCTTCCATATAAATAAGAAATGCTTTCATTTAAATCAGGAAATTCACGGCATTAGCATAGTGATGACCGCTTTCAGATCACAGAAACAATGATAGGCGCGTTCAGCTAGAATTGGCACATGACATGTCGATGCGGCAAGTTCAGGGTGCGATCATTACGCGGGGGGGGGGGGGGGGGGGGAGTCGAATTTAGACGACAAAGTTTAGAGGTGCGATCATTAAGTGCAATCACTATGCGAGTAAATGCGGTACTTCAGGTGTGCCACAAGAATCGGTGCTGGGGCCGCTTCTTTTTGTTATCTACATGAATGACATCTGTTGTGTTAGTCCTTCAGACTTCGAATGTTCACACATGACTGTGTATTATACAGAGTCGCTCGTATCATAGATGATCCCACTGCACTGCAAAACGATGCGAATTTGATTAGCACCTGGTCTAATACGTGGCACATGGACCTAAAAGTGAAAAACTTTGTTTATATGGAAAGAAATATTCTGTGCTGATTTAGTTACACTATTAAGGGGAGATGTGGGTATTGTTTGTAACTTTTTTGTTTCTTGGCCTAGGTTCATGAAATTTGGTATACACACTAAAAACCACATTAAAGAGATGAATGCAAATTTTCATAAAGATATTTGTACTGGTTCTCACTTTATAAAAAATTCTTAAGTTTGTCGCTCGTGGAGAGTCTGGCACAGCGAGGAAACTTGCTTAAGGGGGGGCGCGGCAAGTAAAGTGCCGATTTTGGTCAAAATATGCGATTTTCTGATTTATTTTTTTTCGTAATCTTCAGACCTTCAACTTCCTTGTTCTAAAATATTACAGCGAAACGTGCGCTACAAATCCCGCAAATAGTGTTTTTGCCGAGGCTAGTCGCCGAAAAGTGCGAAAAAAAAAGCCCCTGAAACGGTGTTGTTCACGCCGCACAAACGCGCCAAGTTGTTGACCGTGGGCCGCCATTTTGGTAGCTTTGGAAAGAGGAGAAAGCCGGCTTCCCGATGGTCGCGGTCTCGTATTTCGCCGAGTGAAAATAAAAGCGCGAGGAGCAAGTAAAAAAACGAAAACGAAGAACGGCAATTGGCTGCGCGGGTCACGTGGTAGCAGGCGCGACCTCTTACTGGTCAAAGCTGCGCCGCGCACCTTGGCAACCTTGGAAGCGCGAGCGCATCTGCGGCCGCCGTGTCGAGAATCATCCGGCGTGCGCTTCGTTTTTTGCCAGTTTGCTGTTTTTGTGATAGTTCGCGTGCTTTTTTTACCAAGCTTTGTTTACATCGGTGGTCTCTTCTGAGTGCTTGCTCATACTGCGGTGCTATGTTGCCGCAAAAAAAGTTCCGGAGCGTCCACAAGTACGGCAAGCGTCGGAAAGCTTGGAACAAAGGGCAGACGACTGCGGCTGCCGTCCCAGTCGCAGTTCCGGACGGAGCATGCTCTTCAAGCGTCGCGAAGCCTCTACTCAGACCCTTCGCTGATTGTTGTGAGGCCGAGAGTGTGGAAGGTGCCACATCGTCGTATGTCAGACCGCCGGATGCCGTCGACCGTGATGGACGCTCTCGCGAACCCGATTGCGGTGGCACCGCGTCGGCAGCCGTTGCAACTCCGGGCGTGCGCGCGTCGAACATTCTATCGCGAGTTTCGGCCCAGATTCCGAGCAGTGAAGAAATCGCGCAGCGGGCGCAGACAAGGCGGGATGTTTTGGATGCCGTAGCATCGAAGTCCGCTTCAAAGCGGAAGCTCGAGATTCTGAACGAAGGCTGCGACGAAAATGACGGCGGTAAGGACTCCACATTCTTCATTGTAAATAAGAAGATGCTGAACGGTCTGCTTTCGTCAGTAAAGTGCAACAAGTGCGACGAAGGGTCGATACGCCTCGAGACTACGCACTGCCTTGGACTCGCGGCGAGGATGGAACTTTTTTGTGACAATTGTGGCAGAGTGAACAGTGCGTGGTCGTCCCCGAGGTGCTCGCAACAAAAAACGAACCCCTTTGAGGTAAACGTGCGTGTTTTGAGGGCTGTGCAGTCAGTTGGCAGAAAACAATCTGCCATAAATGACATTTTTTCTGCGATGGACATTTCGCATCGAGCACTGCACCACAAGTCCTACCAGAGACTGCAAAGGAAGTACAGCCACCCTGCCACCACATCAGCTGCCACCCGCATTGAAGCAGAAAGTGCACAGAAGGTGCATGACATTTACAAGGACCTAGGAGGAGTGCCAGGCAACATTGACGTCATTTACGACAGCACGTGGATGACGAGGGGGCACAGAAGTCATATTGGCGTGGGCTGTGTAATCGAGCTGTACACAGGCTTGGTCTTGGACCACTGTGTCCTGTCCAACTACTGCCAAGGCTGTGCTGTTGGCCCCAAGCCTGGTGACGACAACTATGAGGAGTGGCTTGAGAAACACAAGCCACAGTGCCAAAAGAACACCGATGCTAATGCAGGCCAAATGGAAGTAGAAGCAGCTAGGATCATGTTTGAAAGATCGTTTACCAAGTACAAGCTTCGATACATCAATGTGCTCTGCGACGGTTCCACGACAAAGAAGATTGTTCCACGACAAAGAAGCGCAAAACTGGGTTGCGCTCTACAGAGGCCAAGGCCACAGCATCTCAGGATTACTGCCCAGGAGGATTCTGAGTGTTTTAGGCATGTTGTGAACTTCCAAACAAGAGTGAACTTTCAAAGTCAGTTTTCTCAACTCTTGATTTTCGCCTATGTGCCTTCGCTAGAACATCTGTCATTTTCTAACAAAGACTGATAGAGTCGTTCCGTTTTTTGCACTAGGCTCAGGAGGCCTTTAGCAGTGCAATAAAGCTTTATCTCTCTTCTTACTCATCATTTAAAATTTTTAGAACACATTTTATAATTACTGCGATGTGTGCGCAAAACAACATTCATGTTTTGGAAATTTTATTTATGGTTACAAGAACTAGAAAAATCAACTAATAGCTTCTTTGCACAAGTTGATGCTTTGGGAACATAATAATATGAAAAAATAATTTCATTTAGCAATAATTATCTCTTTAAGTGTGAAGAGCATTAATTAGTATAATTATGCTTGTAACTCAAAAAGTACAAGAGGTATTTGAAAACGGTTTTCATATTTGGAATCCTCACAATCATCCACATACACACACCAAATTTCATCACAAACAGTACATTAATAAAAAAATTAGTTTTACTTGCCACGTCCCCCCTTAAGTGCTGGAATAACATTTAATATGTGTGTACATATTGCTTGTAGCCAAAGACAGTGCCAGATTTTTTTTTTTAATGCCCTAAGAATATTCTGCTGAACATTATTTGCATATGCATGTGCTTCATGAAGTCCTGCCTTTCAGTATTTGTGAAATTTGAAAAAAAAATGTAAGCCTAAACTAATATTTGAAGACAGCCTTCAGTTATGACAAAGTTTATGAGTTACAATAAAACAAACAGAATGAAAATCGGTCTGGCCATAGTCGGGCAATGCTTTCCACGAGCAAGGAGGTCAACAAAAAAAAAAAATCACAGAAAATGGCTTTTAAAGTGTTTTGCAAATGCTGCACCGTTATTAAAATGCCCCAGTGCTATAGTCTTTCGCATCACTGCGAAGAGGCATCTTCTTGGACCTCTGTCCCTTGGTTTCTTCACTTTTACGTGCTTTTTTTAGACGCAGGCAGTCTTATTCTTGAGCCCTCTAAAGGGCTATGGAACCAGGACGCACACCCAATGTAACACACGTTTCCGAGTACATGCGCGCGCATCCTGAATTATATTTCATTACTGCCTCGTTTACCGCTGTCTCTACAGCAAAA